TGTTTCTGGGAATTAATGGGAACTAATGAATAATGTGTTGAAATAATTGCTGTGGAATTGGCAGAAATGTAAAAGATACATTTGCATAAGCAGGGAGAGAATCTACTGGCAGGTAGCAGTTCCTTTAAATAAATACAGGAAACCTTGGAGAACTAGAAAATAATTAACCTGTTTTATTAGCATAGATATATTTGCACCTTTTCTGAATTGTGTGTGCTGGTCACTGTCAGAGGAGGGACAGTAGACCTTGATTTTACCTACTGTGGGCACTGCCACTGCTCATCAGCTTGTGAAAGTTCACATAAGCCCTAAATTGTGAAGGTAGAAATAAAGGAAGAAATAAAGCTGAAGGACAACATTTGTGCTTGAGAAGGATCACTGGAGGTCCAAAGAGAGCACAAAGATGGGGAGGTCTCTGGTCACGTCCCCAGTGAGAGCTGGATGCTGTCAGCTCACACAGTGCCGCTGCTCCTGCTACCTTTGGTACCACCACACAGGTCCTCACCAGCATTCATCTGGGGTGGTCTCTGTGGCCTGCCAAGGTCTTCCTTTGGATCCAGACAGACCTGAACCTCATCAGCTTCAGAGTGTTTTGAAACATGGCTGGTCAGGGGGGTACCGCTACAACATTGCTGCAAGATATATATTAACCAAAATCATTCTGCATGTGTCGAAAAGAAGTGAATTCACTGTCACTTCATCAGAGAAAGGAACAACGTACCCAAAATAGCTTTGAACTCACATGCCTTGACGAGCAAACTGTCAGCTATTTTAGGTCTTTCCTTTTTTGAATTACCCACCCTTGAATAATGATTTAATGCAGGAGCGGTGGTAGAGAAACCGTGTGTCAGATGCTAGGGCATTCACTGGGAAGGTGAGACATGAGTTCAATTTCTGTTCCAATTAATATTTATTTATATGAAAGGGAATAGAATCAGAAAAAGAAGTGAAAGATCCTTATCCAGGCCAGTCAGTGGCCTGAGCTTGATGCAAAGACAGCTTCACGTCCTTGGTTTTGAGATGGGGACAGCAAACACATTATTTTAGGCCATTAAGTCTTTTTCCTGGCACTGCAGTGGTTTGTTCATAGCCTGCCTTATTCCCATCTCTTCCATACTCTTAGTGACTCTTAACTATGTTAATGTAATAGAACACCTGGGAGAAAAGGATGATTCTTCTAATTTATCAGGTGAGTATTCTTATAACAGACCAAAACCTTAGTAACTGAATCTGTAGACATTTAATAATGTTTATTCCTCACCACACACCTGTTGTAATGCAGCTTGGGTATCAAATAGAATAAAACAACCTTTAATATATCTGTTTCCTGGCAGTGATTTTTTCCCCCTCTCCCCTACAGTTCCTCCTGTATTGTTCGCATCTCTAGCAGTTGTTTTGTCTTGCTTAAGTTCTGCTTCATCCTTCTTATCAGTCCTCCCCAGTGTCTGGCTTCATGTTAATTCAAGCGTTTTTAGGTTTCATTGCCAGCAGCTTAGTTCCGTGCTGTTTGAGATGCAGCCCCATCCCATCCTTCTGTGCCAGCTTACATCTTCCCAGAGGGACTCACCAAGTTATCACTTGAGGGTAGTGAGATACTGAACAGGTTGCCTAGAGAGGTTGTGGATGCCCCATCCGTGGAGGTGTTCAAGGCCAGGTTGGATGGGGCTTTGAGCAATCTTATCTAGTGGAAGATGTCCTTACCCATGGCAGGGGGGTTGGATCTTTAAGGTCCCTTCCAATGCAAACCATTCTATGATTCTGTGATTATATGCCAACACCACAGTTTTCTCTGCTTTGTTTATTACATGAAAAAAAAAATCTTTTTGGAAGAAGTTAATGTATCCACCCTGTATACAAGCATCATACCCAATTGCTGTTCAAGTAGCCTTTTTGTCAGCAAGACTGGCGAGTAAGTTGACTATGGGTTTCTTCCCAGAAATGCCTGGAAGTTTCTGTTCCCACCTCTTGACAAGAACCTCCTCAAGCTAGCCCTGGTTTGCCCAGGGAATGGGTGATTGCATGCCTCTGTAGATCAGCCTTGATTTGACTGGGTAGGTTGAGGATCTATGTAGCAAGTTACCTGTGTTTGCTAATCCTGGAAGAAGCATTCCTCTGTATTCAGCCTTGGCAACCAGTCAGTTTTGGATCAGCATTTTGGAATCACCATTTCTGGTTGTTGTGGTTTAGGCCAAGTCAGCTACTGGGGACCTGGGGGAGCCCAGACGGGACCGACAGATGCTCCCCTCTACCTCTCTTCAAAGAGGTTAATTTCAGTAGTTAGAAGAGGCCCAGCTAAGAAGCGAAGTTACTGAACAAAGTTGGTCCTGTTTTACCTCAAACCAGGACATTGGTATGTGTTAAATTTTGTGGTTTTGTGTAGCTCAGTGTTGGAGAAGACCCCTCCAGTTACCAGTTATCACACTCACTTTTTTTAGGGAGTATTGTTTATTACCTGGATGGCGAGCCATTCTGGCAGGTCTTGAAGCCTCTCTTTGTTCTTTTGGTGGATCAGGTCCATCCCTATTTGGAAAGGCTTGTTTCACTAGTTCTGCAATAGTATATTCCATCAATGTAGTTCAGCATGGTTTTACATTGCCTGGTAGCTTGTCAGCTGCCAGCCATGTTCTCCTGTCCAGCATGCCATGACGTAAGGTGGAGCAGAAAAAAATATATATTGCAGAAATGAGAGTATAAAACTTGCAGCTGGGAAGCAGTATCCATAATCATGCAGTGGGCCTATGGATAAAACACCGGAATGGGGACTCTGTTTCTTGTCCCTGCAGTGATCTGCCCATGTGGCTACAGGGATAATTAATACACAAAAGGCAGCCTTTTGTGTATTAAATTTCCATTTCTAAAATCAGGGTGATAATAAAACTGTTGCTCATTATTTTTCTTTTGTGTATTTACCTTAAAGTTTAGCTTTCTGCATTAGGTAAATACTAGCACGATTACATGCAGATTTTGTGCTGTGTGGTCATGGTGCTGTCAGATCACAGATTGTAACACAATTTGGGGTCCAGCAGCAAAAAGACCTTATTTGAAAATCAGTGCCTGACCAGACGTGTTTGTAGCCTCTGAGCAAAATTGTGTTCCTGAAAAATTTCTAAATCTGTTGATAAGAGTTTCTGAGTAGCAGTCCGTTCAAATGCATTAAGAAAATTTGTATTTGCAATGTCAAGAGTCTTCTGACTCTACAAGTTGTGCAATTGCAAATCATTGACCAACACTTGGTGCAAATGTGTCCTCAATCACCACTGGCCGCTGGTTGTCCTCTCCAGTCAGGTTCTGGAAAAAGCTGTTGATCTCTGAAATCATGACACATGAGCTTAAATTATTGCTTCCTTGGCTGTTAAAGCTTTTCCAGAAGGAAGTTAACATTAGGAGCTCCTCCACATTATTTCTAGGCTGTTGGTTCTCATGAACATTGTTAAGAAAATGGTGGTGAATCAGGCAGTCTTCAAACCCTTTTAAAATTTTCTTTCTTTTCTTTTGACCCTGGCAGTTTGTTTTTAGAACTTATTGTGTTCAAGAGTTTGTACTGTTTCAAGTGGGTAACCCCAAGCTCTGTATACTGCTGCCCATCAGCGCAGCTGATTTGCCTTGGGCACTCTAGAGAGGTCACAGTGGTGATCTTCCTGCATTACTAAGAGCCCCAAGACAGTTTGTAAGCAGAAGACTGTCAGACACAAGTGTCCTTTTGGGCTTGATGTAGTTGCTTACATGTGTGTTTAGCACCATATTGGATGCTCTTGGGTGTCTAAGACATCTGCATGGCGCTGTATCCTCCTGGTGTGTCAACCTGTGGGCCAGGTGGTTGCTCCAGAACATCTCAGATACTGCTGGGTGCCAACACACAGACAACCAGATCAAGCGTCCTTATGCCTGGCACCCCAAGATGGGGACCTGAGTTTCCTCCTGGGCTTGTCCGCTCCTCTTCTCCAGTTGCTGGTTTTGGTGCTGGTGGGAGATGACTGAGGACAGACTGCCCTGTCTCTTCTACCGGCCTGGGGACCACTCATCACCCCGTCCAACATGTAACTTGCCTTTCTCAGCCACTCCTTTGGGAACAACCAGCTCTGCTAGCAATACTGTTGCATAGATTGCCCTGGTTTTCAGTTTCTTTTCAGGTGAAAATTCAAGAACTTGATCTTGACTCATCTCCTGTAGCTGTTACAGTTCCAGCTGCCTTAAAAACAGCAGGTGAGATTAGCTGCAGTGTTGAACTGAAGCATCGTTTGAACAAGAGCAGGACTGGTATATTGAAGTTTTCCTTAAAATTAGAATTTAGCCCCCCTTACAGTCTGTCTGACGTTGCTTGCTAACCCTGCTGGGAAGATACAACAAGGCTGTCACTGTTATTGTTCAAGTTTTTCTGAAGGTGGAAGAGACAAATCCTTCCTTTGAGATAGTTTGTTTTGGGTTATACGTTTACATTTTCTGTTCCTAAATTTGTATATGTCTTATAAAAATGAGAGATAGAAAGTGTTTAACCAGTGTTTAAAACAGATTCATTCTTATTTATGTAATAGCTAGATAATTAATTCAACTGTTATAAAAGGTTTACGTGTCGGTTTGAGTCGTCTGGTTTTTGCACTTCTTGTCAGATCCAATGTTGAGAATACTGAAATGATGTGTTTTGAGGTTTGGGCAGAAAAGCATAGATTTATCTGTCTATCCAGTTGTTCTCCTAAGTCTCAAATGTTCATAACGATCGTGAGCATTAGGTATTTTGATGCTTGGTTTAGGGCTGTCAGACCTTGTTTTAATAGACGTGGAGCACACAGAGCTCTGCTTCCACTTATAAAGAGCTGCGAATGTTCAGTATGCCTGAAAATGGAACCCGGCTGCCTCCTTGACATCTTGCTGATGCCTCAATGTCCACGTGTTTAATTTATTGTCAAATCATTTGGAAGTGCAAATCTTTATAACCTAATTCTGCTGTAAATTTTAAATTATTTGTTTAATTTTCTAATGTGCATTCCTGTGTGATCCTACAGGTTTTAGCTGATGCTGTTGCACGCTTGGTTGTAGATAAATTCAGTGATTTGACAGAAAATTTCACATCTCCACATGCACGTAGAAAAGTCCTTGCTGGAATTGTCATGACAACAGGTAAAGAAAAAAAAAGTACGATTTTAACTGCTTGAATACGAAAGCTCTGTTTGCATTCTAGGAAACTATCGTTTTTTGGTCAACCAGTATTGAAGTATATTTTTACCATTTATTCTTCAAAGTGCACTAAATATAGCAATTAAATCTTGGCTAAAGATAATTACAGAAAAAGTAAACCTGCAAATACCTCTGCTTCCACAGAGTTCCTTTCTTCTGCCCAACTGAGATATCTGAGATAACTCATGGTCTACAAAATACACGTACCTTTTAAAATGAATTGTGTAACTTTTTGAAAGTAAATCTAAAATAAATTTCACCACATCAGTCACATAGATGACATTCTTGGGTTTTTGGCATATTATATAAGAAATTATGCTCGCTTTCCAAGTTTTTAAGGTTTTCCACTTTGTTGACTTATTCTTGCTATACTTTTTTCTTAGTGCTTTGCATCTTCATCATTTTAGTAAAAATATCCGAAGAGAGCAGATTATGTTTTAGCAGCTGATACTAGTGTGCATGTACAAACAGCAGTAATGTGGTTTTCTGAGTGCTGGCACGAGATCTGTGCTCTGCCAGATTACTCAAAACAGAGAAATTGTGCCCTAAGCTGATCTGCATCCACAGTGCTGCTGAATTTTTCTCTGGCTAAGATTTGTCTTGGTCTTCAAGCCATCTGAACCCTTGATGGGACATTCATTTTGGGCTTGTCATGAAAAGTCCCCAATTATTTGTATGAGTCAGACAGGTATTGGTGATAAATGTATAGCTATGTTTCTTCTAAGTGGTATTCATGCAGCAGGTGCCATGGGCATTTTTCTTGGTCCTTCAGACTGCGGAGTAGGTTCCTTTGGTGATTTGGGCAAGGCCAACCCTTTCCTCCTGTGGGGATGTTTGTAAGGGCCGCCTCCACAGATCAGACCTTTCATTGCCGAGGTCTGAGGGTGCTGGTTAGCATAGATGATCACTGCATGCTCTAGGGACAGGTGAATGTGACAGGGGGATAATGTGGCCCAAACTCTGTCACAAGACATCTGTGGTGGCTGACCCTGGCCAGCAGTCAAACACCCACCCAGCCTCTCACTTGCTGCTGTCTCCTGGGGCATGGGGAGAAGGTGGAAGGAGGGAAAGAAGACTCGTGGGTCTCTTCCTTTCCCTGAGCTCTTATTGCTGAGCACAACACTTATGGATATCCCTTGGTCACTGTGGCTCAGCTGTCCCAGCTGTGTCCCCTCCCAGTCTCTTGCCGACCACCAGCACACTGGCCTTTGGGATGTTTGGAGAGAAAGCCTTGACAGTCCTCAAGCACTGCTCAGCAACGGCCAAAACACTGGTGTTGTACCAGCACTGTGTTAGCCCCACATGCAAAGCACTGTGAGGAACGTGCTGTAGTTTTATTTAATATATTTTGTGGTATTTAACAAGTTTTTATTGTAATTCAAGTCTTGTGTCCACAATTCCCAGAAGAGCCACATGACCAAAGAATTAAGGCTTAATTAACATGTGAATACGTTTTGATTAACTGAAAAAATCGCTTTACACAGAATTAGAAACCATCTTTGCATAGATAAGTGTCTGGGGAACCCCTGGAATCAGATGACCCCATTGCACAGCCTTGTGTTGTATAGTGAAGCGGCTCCCTGCTTCTCTTCCATGGGCTTCTCCTTCAGCCTCATGGGCAGGAGGGAGCAGCTGGGCGCAGGTTTTTTAGGGCCGTATATTTCATCAGGAGTGAGACCTCAAACAGCCCACATCTCAATTACCTTTTTAATTACTCAGTTACCGATTCCCTGGCTAATTACTATCTATGCCCCTTAGATCAGCACTGCTGTCATGCAGCCAGGTGATTATGGGAGGATCCTCAACTCTAGGTGCTTGGGGTGCATTGAAAGTGTTTTTTCTGCTTTTTCGTACCGCAATAACTGTTCTATGGGAGACAGACAGCAGAAGGCATTTGGCAGGGCCTGGCTGCTTTCTATCTCTGCTGGTGAGGCCTCGAGAGCTTCAGAGGAATTAGCATGTCTTGTTGGAGCTTTTTCCTTTGAGTGTTTTGCTAGAGGGATGTAACATTTTGACCTGTCTTTCTGAATTCTTCATGCAGCTGACCCTTTTTTGTGTGTGTGATAAAGACACACATTTCTCTGCGTAGAAAATACCCAAAATATTTTTAATTCTATTGTATGGCATTATTTAATACCAAGAACTGCACTTCTAGAAGTGTTACACTGCTAATAAGCTTTACAGTAGTTTAAGCATTTAAACGTCTTCATTCCCTAGTCTTACCTTTCGTGTTGTTCCTTTAATATCCTTCCATAACATGTTGCTGTTCTAATAAATCAGTGCCTTTCAGATTTCTAAAGTTGCTGTGAATATCTGCATAGGTGGCCAGAAGGTACATGCTGGAAGCTAGCTGGCTCCCTGGGGCTCAGGATAAAAACACTGGGTTTACAGCTCAGGCTTTAATAACTCTTCCTGAAGCAGCAATTTTTCCCTGCAGGTTTTCAATTTCTAACTTGTGTGAACTCCAGCGTGAAGAACTCCCAAGAACCATAGACCATACTGGTACAGGAGCGGTATGGCTTAGTGAAGCTTTTGCTTTAAAGAAAGTATCAGAAGAATAAAGATTTTTTTTTTAAAGAAGAAGAAAAAAAGGAGCCTTGTTTGGGTTCTGCAGGAAGATCACTTGCTAGATTATTTGTGATTTTAATTGCATCTTCCTCATGAAATTTTGTTTTGCAGGTACGGATGTAAAAGATGCCCTGGTAATAAGTGTTTCTACAGGAACAAAATGTATCAACGGTGAATATATGAGTGATCGTGGTCTTGCATTAAACGATTGTCATGCAGAAATTATATCTCGACGGTGCCTGCTTAAATTTCTATATACACAACTTGAGCTTTATCTAAGGTGAGCTGGAGGGAAACGGAAGATGAGCTGATCACACAAAGCTGAAAAGGTGTCTGTGTAAAACGTCTTAATTATTTTAATGTGAAACACTTGTCCTGTTGCATTAGGATGTTTAATTGAGAACTCGGGCCCTTTGCGCTAAAGTTTGACTTTAACAGAACATGTATTCAGTTAGGTGTCAGTCATGAGAGGGGAGGACAGAAAAAAATAATTGGGAATCATTTTGTAAACTCTAAACATGTAAATCTAAATAATCTCAAGTGGGCTAAAGGGTGGTGATATTTCATTTGCTGGTAAGTGCCTGAAAGCTCTTGACTTCATCTGGGGATGTCAAGGGCTCTCTGTTTCTTGTCTTGGTGGTCTTTTGCTATTTTTAATAACTGTTAGATTTGAACTGTAAAATTTCCAGACATCCTGTGTTTGTTTTTAATGCCTGTTAAGACTGCCCAGGTTATGGTTGTTTATGTGTTAATGTCAGTTTTGACTGTAGCTTTATTCTCTGTTTCAGCAATAAAGAAGATCAACAAAAATCCATTTTTATCAAATCGGAGCGAGGAGGGTTTAAGCTGAAGGAGAATGTGCAGTTTCATCTCTATATCAGCACATCTCCTTGTGGCGATGCTAGGATTTTCTCACCGCACGAAGCAGCACAAGAGGGTATGACAGCACCCTACTCAAGCAAAGGAATTTAAAGTATTCTTTGAGCATATACAAGTGGCACAGTTAAAATTTAGGTGTCGTCTTTCCTTTTAGTGTAGATGGGTGTTAGACAAAGATCACTCAAAAAAAAATCTGAGCTGTTCCTCTTGTATGGTAGTTAAGTATAGAGTGACCCACCACGTGGTATTGAAGAGGCTGAATACTAGCCAAGATAAGCCAGTGGGTCAGCTTCTGTACAGTATTTGTACAGAACTAACATTATTTCTTCTGTCTTTTAACAGTGGTTGTCTGCCTGCCCCTTTCTTGATCTGTCCACTAACTTCATTGTAATGCTGTAATGCTCAGAACAGAATGGGAGAGCTACCTGCTGTGTATGGCTTGGAAAACTTGGTTTAGTTGCAAGTGTGTTTTAGAAGACAGTATTTGTGAGACATGTTTGCTAATTTGCAAGAAGCAATAGAAATTGTAATGCAAGCCAGCAGTTATGCAGACAAATACCTGTAATCAGCTCTTCTTATTGTAATGCTATATGTAAAACACTGAGAATGCTTGTCAGCTGATTGTAAGCAATTTTTGTCATTTAGATCAAGGCGACAGGCATCCAAACCGCAAAGCAAGAGGACAGCTACGGACAAAAATAGAATCTGGGGAAGGGACCATCCCTGTGCGCTCTACTACCACTATCCAGACATGGGATGGCGTATTGCAAGGAGAAAGGCTACTCACCATGTCCTGCAGTGACAAGATAGCGAGGTGAGATATTGAATGGTTTGTTTCTCTGCTGTTGCTTTTTATTGCTGAACAAGAAAGGAGGGTTGTGTGATAACTGCAGTGAATGTGCAGGTGATTGATTGGCGTATTTCATTGCTTAGATGTAGCGTGGGAGTGGCTGTAATTCCAGCGATAAAGCTCTGATTCTTCACCTGCAATTGGTGTCAGACTTTCTGCTGGCTTTAGAGGCAAGGTGAAATCATCTATCATTCCAGCCACTTCAAGTCATGACAGATTTGTTTTGTATTTATATCACTGGGAAATAGCAGAGAATTGCCTTTTTTTCCCCCTAAAGTAGTATAGCATTAGCAAAACAGTGTAATAAATATATTGTGTTAGTTGCATTTGGATAACTTCCTCTGATGATATATGTCTTGCCCCATTATTGGAAATGTTCAAAGTCAGGTTGGATAGGGCTTTGAGCAACCTGAACCTAGTGAAGGGTGTCCCTGCTCACGGCAGGGAGGTCGGACTTGATGATCTTTAAAAGTCCCTTCAAATCCAACCCAGTCTGTGATTCTATGATACGAAAGATACATACATGTTCCATGGATAGATTTAGATTTCTATTATTTTATAAAGGGAAAAAGTGTTCTGACTAAAAAAAAAAATCTTAATTCATGGGCACTTTTATTTTTTAACTTTAAAATTATTTTAACTTCAGCTTAAATATTTTTACTGCAATTAAAAATTTTGTTTCCAATACTAGTGTTTTTATTTGTATTTTGTCTGATTCCTTCTTTGCTGCATGTTTTTACAAAGATTAAAAGATTTTTTTTCTCAAAATCTTAAAAGGACAAATGATTATGCCCTAAAAAAACGTAGCAGTGGTATCCTTTAACAAGTATCAGAAGTACGGGAGAATTGCAACGTAATTTTTTTTTAAAAGAGTCTGTGTGTTTGCAGCATCTGTGTTCTTGCAAAATAGACAAGAAGTTCCAAGTTTTTCAGCTGATGGTATTTTAGTTATTTTAATTAAAATAGCTCTGCTGTTTTGTCAAGTTACAGTTAGTCTGATTCAAAATTTATTAAGTGTATTAAGTTGGAACTATTCTTGTGAACTGCGTATGCCAACTGAAATATATGGGAGGAGTGTTATGTAATTGCTTTGTTCGTCCAGTCTTGTCTCAAGTAATCACCATCTCTACTGAAGGAAGACATTTTACTTTCATTTAAATCCCCCTAACATAAATGTATAGGGCCTTTCAGAAGCTAGGACAGTGGGATGTTGAAAGGTAATTCTACAAAATTGACATTACAATTTCTTTTATATTTTCAATAAAATTCACCAAATAAATTTACCAGCTTCATGCCAGGGACTTCTCCCAGTCACCTGACATGGTAATCGTGTTACATTCATTTGACTTCTATCACGTCATCATTGCTGTTAGTGCAAATAAAAAAAATGAAGACAGTTGTTGAGCTAGAACACATTTGACTATTTTGTTGATTTTGTGTGATACAGAACAGAATCCATCTCTCGCTTGCGTAGCTAGCTGTCACCTCTCCTTGGGGCTAATGGGAATAATTTTGTTTGTGCCAGTGAAGGAAGCAAATAGAACCCCTTGACACAGCACAAAGACTGTATGACGGGTAAGGAGGCCCAAATTTTCGTATTCTTTTTTTTCTTTTCTTTTTTTTACATTTCCCTGACACTTATGACCATGGTTTGTCCATTTACTTTTGAAAGAATGCATTGCTCTGTAGTGTCCGCCAGTCAGTCCTCCAGTATGCCTGAGCCTTGTGAATTCCCACTGAGCTTTTCCAGAGGTTCACAATCCCAGTCTGGAAAAGATATGGAAAAGGCATTCAGGATGCAAGATTGCACAGGCAGGAAAATTTGTATCTGAACAGCCTCGTCTGTGTGGGTTATATGTATAATCCAAGCTGTTATGTCCAGCCTCTGAGTGCTTTGTTGCAGTGTGCTGTCTATAACCCTCCTGAGCCAGGTAGGAACATCCAAGAAAAATTTTGAGGAACATGGAAAGGCCATGAGTGTAATCCCGTTTGGGTCAGAAGCATTAGAACAGGATTATCCTGGTGTGTTAGTGCCTGGTGGCTCTGCAATATGGTGTCAGGGAAGTATCTTGATCAGAGTAACTGTTTTGGGACATTAATATACGTGCATTTTTTTTAAATGTATTGTAACCTTGTTCCATGGTACTGTATTATGTATATTTTATGATCTTATATATCATTCTCCTTTGATGTGTTTTTCTGCCCACATTCACTTTAAGTTTTTTGGCTTCAAATAATTACTTAATTTCTCGTGAAACATTCCAGTTGTGGCTAATGTCTTGCTGAGAAGAGGAAATTTTTTTTTTCCATCCTGTGTTATTGCTAGGAAGGCTGTAGGAATTGAGAAATGCTTGAATATTAGGTCAAGTTCGTAAAGGGGAAGTCATTCTACTCTAAGGAAGGGAAAAATTATTTCTGATAATCTTTTGTGTGAAAGAACATCCTGTCCCATGCACTGGCCTCATTTTGTGCTTATTCAGAGTGGGAAGCCTGAATAGATGTTTGTAACTCAATCTTTCTCTTTATTTCCCCAAAGGCTTCATCATCTTGACCCCACCACCTAGTTTTCTGGGACTGATGAAGTTGCACAAACACATCTTAAAATCTTAGGCATGCTTACTGAAAGCTGCATGTTCTGCAGCTATGTCCGTGCCTACCCAGCTGTCTTCGAGTTTGAGAGTTATTTCTAAGTGGCAAGCTCCATGGTGGACCTGGTGTGACTTCTGAACAGCAATAGCAAGAGCAGTTCTTCTCACCAGTTTTTTACCCAAGTAACAGTGGCTGATGTGATGGCTGTGTGACACCTAGGTAAAAAAAATGGGGGAAAGTGGTAGGAAACCACTACCCAAGATGTAGCATCTAAATAACCAGATGTAGCATCATGTAACCTCTCAAACCAGTGACTTGAGTCTTGACCCAGGCTCACGGGTGTCCAGCAAATCCAGGCAACACTAGAAAAGCTGGGACATCTCAGAGCTGCATGGTTCCCAGCTACAAGGGAGAACAGATCCTCTTGTCTGTAATTGCAAATCTGACCTCAGAATAAATAAAAAGATGTTTGCAAGAAGTGCTAGTGTGAAAGACCGTGGAGTTGCACTTACTGATTTGTAGTATGGGTTGTTGACTGGGCCACTTGATATAAAAGAAGCTCTGACTCCACTTCATGTAAAGATGTTGCTGCCTGTTTATGCTGTGGCTCATAAAAGGCATGGGCTGGTCATAGAGATTCTCTCTTAAGGAACAAAGAGAAATCAGATTTAATATCAGAAAAGAAACCAGATTGTGGTTAGCTGAATGAAGTCAGCTCTGCCTATTTGTTCTGCCAGGTGATGAGAGTAAAGTCCAGCTAGATGGGTGTCCACAGCAGGCAGATAATGACCTGCCTAGTGCAGGTCTGAGTTGAAAGTTGAGCAGCAGAAGCATCCCTGCACATGGATGATGAACCACAGTGAACGTGGTTGCAGACAGACAAATGCTTGTCACCGAGCTACAGAGGTGAAGGCCCTCACAGGGCTCAGCAAGCGTCCCTGGGGATGCTGCTGGCCTCAAACTTAGCAGGCTAATCACAGCAGTCTTGGAAACCAGAAACATGCAGGAAAACCCATGGGCACAGCTACTGCAAACACAAGTGCTTTCTGTTCAGACCTAGCAGGAGCCCCTGGGTTTGTGGCTTCCAGCGTCTTCGTGGTAAGAAGCAAGATGCCCCACATCTTGGGGGCACAGTGGTCATGGAGAGCTCTTGGTTAACGACGCAATTCAAAAGACCTTGAAATCTTGTTGGCTTGGTAAGCCAAGCATGCCTTTGGGATTACTCCCTGAGACAGCTGCCGTCTGAGCTGCACGCCTCTGTCATGAAGGAGTGCAGGAGATGCATGTCAGGAGGCAAATTCTTTCTGGGGATAGTCTGACAACTGACACGTTGACATCTTCTTTCCCTTACCATCGGTTGCAAGTAAAAGCTTGTCATAAACAAAATGCCTACCAAATAATTTTCCTTTGCAAGGATATTGCACACCATTGTAGATACAGTGTGTAGTGACTCAGCTCTTCCATACTGCTATCTGCTTAAAATATAGTGATACTAAGATGTTTGATATTAACATCAAGCTTTATTGCTTACTGCTGTTAGACTCACCTCATTTCTATTTTTTCTCTAAAATACTGCAGAATTTCTATGCAGTTTGGGCTTGGAAAGCTTAGAGGAGAGTTTTTACCTAAAGCATGTATTTTCAACCTTTTTTTTTTGGCAAGAGGTGCACTAGCGCACTGTGAAAGGGTTGTGGCAGAGTTTATTTTTACTTACTTTTTCGGGTATCGAGAATTGCGAAATCACCTGTATGTCACGAAGAAATCGATAGACCTTTTAGAAATCCACTGCCTTGCCTCTGAGCATAGGGTAGTCTAAAGCAGAAATGTGACAATGTAGCAAGGAAGAGAGGAATGCTCTTGTTTTGGCTTTGATCTGTTGTTTCTGTGCCCTCTTTTTTTAATATAGTGTGATTGAGAACAGCAAAAACGTTGAGAAAGTGCATCCATCCTCCAGCTTGTTATCAATAGGATCTAAGTAGTGAATATAGAATAAGGAAATCAGTGAGTATGATAAATTCGTAGAATTCAGATATCCCCAATGTGGTGCTCGTCTATAAAACCTCAGGTGATCACACTACACACAGAGTATCCTCTGTAAATAATCAGGAGTTGAACACAATTCATGTGCACAAATTTACAAAGGCCATCATTGGGGTATAGTCTGTAAAGGTGGTGAGATGTAGTGATTTGAAAGAGCCTTTCTCTAGCTGCTCAGGCACAAGATTACTTCATAGACATGGTAGAGCACATGGCAAAATCTTGGTGACAGGGAAAATTTGATCTTTTGTAGCTAAGTGGGGATACAAGGCACCCCAAGCTATACTCCCAGGGAGACATCTCAGCAGAGTTTCTGCATTGAAGTAGTTTTTGGTTTG